TTAACTGTACGTATTGTTAAAAGTGTACTAAACTAAGTAAAGAAGCGTAATGGGTATTTATGTTTTATAAGAATCTGCTAACATGTTATATACAATTTTCAGTGACAAGATTACTGCTGTGCTAAACATTTTTCTTTAAATTTGTTGTAGAAATTTTTGGAATGGAATGGTTATCTTATACATTACTTTGAAAAAGCTTAGGCTCAACTATTTCTGTTTCATTAATTTTACATTTTTGTTTAGTTTAAAGTACAAAAAGTTTTTATCTTTATTTCAGTCTGTATCAAGTTTCTAACAAAGTTTATGAACACACTGGAAGGTGAAGAAAAAACGGTTGAAAACATTGAGAAAAAGTTCAGGAAGTTTTGTAAATCTGCCAAGAACAAAGATGAAAGATTGGTGAGTACACTGCATTGTTAAACACAGTTTTATTATTAATGAAAAAACAAATTGGTTAAAATACACCCTTGTAGTAACATTAAATGTCTTCTCTATTTAGACCCTAATATGTTTACTAGTAAGTAACAAGTTTGTTTTAAGTTTATTTTGCTGCATTTCATAACAGGTGTCTGATTCTTCAGGGTATAATATCAATAAACAATTAACAACAATCAAGTGAAAAAGATTTAACCGGGGTTTATTATTATATACAATAATCCTTCTGTATTATATTTCAGTGTTACTATATTGGGGCCCTAGAAACCTCTGCCACTGGTATCCTTGGAGAGATGTCTAAACCCATGAGTTGGGGAGTACCTGCCGATAAAGTTTGTGAAAAACTGAACAGAAAAGATAGCCAAATATGTGAACTAAGATATCGTAAGTTATTTTCCTTTGTTTCATCTGAAAATAGATCAGCGTAATATGTAGACTAATGTAAGGATGATATGTAAATGTTTACATTAAGAGTATTCTCTTCAGTTATATTGCAGTGTTTTTCACTACCATAATGGGATTATTTCCACAAAATTTAATGAAAGCAATTAAACATTATGTCCTTTAAAAAAGGGAAATTTTTATGACATTTAACAATTTCTCCTTTTTTATTTCAGCAAAAGTAGTAGACCTGGCAACAGTGAACCTTAAAAAATTGAAAGTAAAAGATTTGAAAAACATCTTAAACAACTGGGGAGAGGAGTGCAAGGGATGTGCCGAGAAATCTGATTTTATTCGTAAGATTGAGGAGTTAATGCCAGAGCATGCCCCAGAGGCTCATGCTGCCAGAACGAAAGAGGAGTTATGAGAACATTTTGTTTAGGCGACATTAATAAATTCTTTACAGCATCCAAATCTCGTTGACTTTGTTACAATCCATTGCAATAATATTTTTTTTAAGGAAGGAAAAAACAATTTAGCTTTAACTGGTGCAGATCATATAAAGAACATTCATTGTGGCGTTTTCCATCGATTAGCAAATTCTCCCTTGTATAATTGGAGATGTTTATATTTTGTAACCATGTTCATATTGTACATATAATTATTACACGTTTCAACTTTTGTCATGATTACTGTTTTACTAGCTAAGTAAAATGGACCATTATTCTTGAATATTTGTTCGAGTTATGACTTCAATTATATAACCAAAAGAAAAATTTTAAATTATAGCTAAATAACCCTCATTTGCCTGCAATCCTGCTTTGCTACTGTGAAATAAAAGTCAAGAACAATGTACTATAAAAAGTTTTATTTTGGAACTGCTGGGTGACAAGTTAAAAGCAATGTCTACCCTAATTATTGTATTTTACAACAATGCTGTAATTACAGGTCAACAATACAGACTTGCCAATTAAGCAATTTCTCAGGTTTATATCCTTGATATTCCTAAGGAGATTTGCTTCACAGAACACTGTCATTTGACGCAATCTTGACTGTTAGTCAAACTGTTCAGCTCACTTGTCTTTACAATACACCAGGACTTAAGAATGTGCAGAAACGGAAAAATCTTAACAACCCATTAAAAGTTTCTCAGGTTTTTTTGAAAACTACCATCCACAAGCAGGCTTCTGCTGTCCAATAGGAATGGAAATGAATGCTTACCAATTTGCCCCTAGACTTGCATACACACTTCGGAGTGGTTCCATTGTCACTTTCAAAGCACATGATCATTATGAAGTACCCACTTTGATTCAATTAAGCAGAATATTTACAGTAACATACAGATGACAATGCTTTTGCCATTAATTTTAGTTCATCAATATCAATAATCCAACTTTTCAACTAATAACCATGAAATTGGTTTCAATCTGTCTATAAAGAAGACTGTGTCAACTACAGTTCTGAATTCATGGAATGGAAACATTTTGCTTTAAGGAAGTCTTTGAAAATTAACAAAGTGGATAATAAACTGCATGGGATGAATTTTATTAATGAAATGATGTCTCCAGCAGATAAAGAGCAACTTTCAGAACATGAGTCTTTGGTAAAAATAAAAAACTTTTGCTAGTCTTTCATCTCTCCCTCTTCATCTTCTTCCTCTACACCTCTGATGTATAATACATTATTACACCTGAAATTGAGATAATAGTTTATATAATTATACATATATAAATTTCACTATTCAAAGGCCTACTCTGTTGCAGATGTGAAGCTTTTTTTATTATAAATGAAATGAAATAATTAAAATTTCTATTTTTACTAAAATGGGTTTCTGAAAACAAAATTCTGTTTTTTAAATTACACAGCTGTAATCGACTACTGATAACATTAAAATTACAAATAACAATTTTGCCACATTAAGAAAAAACATCTGATTTTATATTAAGCACAAGACCTATTTGCTAAAACAAAAATAATGCAAAAGGTATGTTTTAGTATGAGAGTTACATCAAGGCCCACCTAATGAGAACTTCTCCAAGATTGCCTGATAAAGCTCCATCAATATATTCTTCTGTATTTGCAAGCTGAAATCAAATCAAACAAAAAATCTTATGTTTAAGTTCCTTTTTAAAAATAAAAAGACCAGGTTGCATGCAAATTTTCAAATGCACATTTTGGTATTTGTATTTTCTACATGTTACCCAAACTTCTCTGATAACTCACTTATTTTAAAACAATTTTCATTATCTTATCACTCAAAAATGGCAAACAAACTGAATATTGTTGTGACAAAAAAAAAAAAAAAATTAAAACTACATAAATCCGAGAGTGTTGTTATCAAAGCAAAGCTGACACAAACACAGGGTCCACTCTAACCTGAAGATTCATGTATCCGTCTACTGAAACTAAGTATCCTTTATACTCCATTCCCCACTTTAGTTTCACCATGACTGGTTTTCCTGTTAACCCATTCAGGAAGGGTTTAGGGTTCATGGGAAGTGTCTGAAAAATAACAGAAAGGAGTAGGACATTTAAACAAATAGACAAGTAAGACCACCAGTGATTTGTCAATATATGTTATATATAATTGTTTCAATTTAGGGTTTGATAGAGAGCATACCTCACATAAAGTTACGCTGAGAACACAAACTTCTAGTAAAATGACTAGCGCCCAAAACAAATTTCATTTTATAAAAATTATTTTTAAGATTATTTCGTACTAGTAAAAAACCCAAATTTGTATGCTTTAGTGGGTGTTTAAGTGCCTCAGCATAATCATTGGATACCGCCATGTGTGCGACAATCTAAATTACCTCCAGTTTATGGATGGAGACATTGAGTAGAAATGAAAGAAAATGGATCATGCTACCATAACGTCAAGTGACTCGTGAACAACCGAGTCATATTCTGTCATCGGGAAAGCAACTTTAGCCAATATTTTTAAACACAGGGATGCACACCGATCTAAAGTGACTAATGCGATTACTCTTATTGAGTTCATAACTGAACTAGCATGCGAATTTCTCTTACCGAAGCCATCTCTTTCTCTTGCCGGTTCCTTTTTCGCACGCTTTCCACACGTTCTGCGCACGCGCAACACCGACTTCCGCGTAAACAAAAGTGCATTGTGGGACTTTATTCCAGCATGTGAATGAGAGAAGAAACTGTGTTTTTATATTTTTACTATGAATTTCTGAAAAATTAGGATACAATGGGGGTTGTATGGTATGTGAATGTGATTCAGTCGAATGAATGTATATGTTAATAATAGAATTTTAAGAGGCTTATTTGCTCCTGTATCGCGATTTACGAACTAAAAAACTGAAAGAAAGTGAAGAAAGAAAAACATGACATGCTGATGAAGCTTGATTCTTTAAATAATGATCAGTTTTCGATTAGATACCATTGGGTGTCATCATTTCTAATACTTATAGACACTAACCCAACTTGCAAGAGTTGCCATTTTGGTTAGGATCTTATTTAAGGAGAAGTTGACAAAATTTATCTTTGCAATTTTTGTGCCAAGAGTGAAGAGATAAAAATATAATTGAGTAAATGAAATTAAATAAATTATATAATAATATAAATTTGCAAGACTATTGTTACGCAGATGTGATACAAATTTTTTTATAGTGCTTATTTGGAGTTTTAACAAAATAGTTTTATATTCAATATTATAAGCGCAGGAGAGCAGGCAAACAGCTAGCATATATTACCAGTTAGATTGTTATTAAAAATGACTTTATTCCATGTCAGTTATGTCTCCTCTGTCATCTCACAACAGGAGATTGACCAGCAGTTATGGTATGTTTTTTTTACTTTTTTGTATGCTCTGTAATGAAAATAAAAATATTTCTCTAATACATTTCCAGTGTTGCCTCCTACCCTGTACCAGAGGGCAAGAGCGGACAGCAGATAGTGGATGTGTTGCAGTCGAGATTGGAACAACTGGGTGCTGAAAAGAGTGGACAGTTTAATGTGGATTGTGAAACTTATCAATCTCAAGTTCCTTCAGGTAAAAAATTATTTCTGTTATTGTAAAATTAATAGTTTTGATGAAAAGTCTTACGAGACTTCACAGTCTGACTTATGTATCAGTATTGTAATCTGTTCTTAAAACAACTTTTTAGTGTGGTCAGACTTTTCATTAAGAGGCTTTATTCAGGCTGCAAATCACTTATTCTGAATGTAGGTTTTTATAGACTTTTGATTCCTATTTCACTCCAGATTTTGTTAACATATCGCAGGTGTATTTTACTCTTATTTCAGCTCAGAATAGACTGGTGCACCTCCTACACAACAGCGAGCAACCCGCGACGTGTTTTGCTGTCCTTGACACGGGCACCTGCTTAGTTGCAGACAATCTCTTCAATCTGCTCATGTTGAAGCTGAAAAATTTTTACCCCACAAGGAAAGGTTTTAAGATAGAATCCAAAGGACAGAGATATTCCCTGGGGGATTTTATTATTAAAATTGGATCTGTTACTTTTGGACAGAATATAAGCTTTAAGGGAATTTTGGTTGAGGTAAGTTTTACCTCTTATTTGTTGCTCAATTTTGCATAAGCAAATTTATTTTTACAGGTGCATATTAAAATATTAATGAGCTTAATTAACTGGTAAATTTGTGATATTTAGGTATCGATTTGTCTTACCTGCTGTGCAGCAAAATTGTTCTTAATGTTACTGTAGTAAAATGAATCTTCTTTATCTACTTAGAAAACATTTTGCAAATTGAGACTACAATCATGTCAGAGACCTCAGACCTTTTTCTTGTATATTAAATTATCCAAGATCAGTGGGAAGTAGGGAACATAATAAATTATTGTTTGGATTGAATTATGTCATATATTATTTCAGTATTTTTGTATAATACATTGTACAAAATTTAATTGAAGTACTTTTTGTGTTGCCTGCAGGTAGAGTATTGTCCGTGTATGGTCCCAGGGGACTGCTGGGACCTGATGAAGGAATTCATGCAAGGATTTATGGGTAACTGTGTGGAAAATCCCTCCAATTATCTTAAAACCAAGATGGACATAATGTACACCCCAGCAGATACCATACAGCAGTATTTAGAACACTTCAAAACTTTCAGGAAGGAATCTTTGGCAGTGACACGGTGAATGGTAGTCTTGTTCCACTGGATGTTCTTTTTTTCCTAGAAACTTTTATCTTTGAAAGCGTCATGCCATATTTCAGCTGTCACGGGTGCAGGGGTACTGCTACCCCTGTAGTTGAACAGTTTGGTGGCTGTGGTATAATGAACTTGATAATGATTGGAAACTTTACAAGCGGGAACAAATAATAAATTTGCTTACAAAAAGGGTTTTTGAAATTCAAGCAAACTCTAGTTTAACATTACAAAAAAAAAAATTTTGTGTTACAACACATCAGTTGACAGCCACCTTCCAGTCCAATGACCTGTTATATTAGACAGTAAGGTTTGAAAGAAGGAGTTGAGATTTCAGACAAATAAATGTTATCACAAATACATGTGTAATGAATTAAATACCTTTATTACCATAACAATGGTCAACAATGATTTGCCCTGATGATTTGTTTTTGTCTTTGAAAAAAGTTAAAGTTAATACAAAAGTTAAACTATATATTTATGTTAAAGGGGTAACAACTTCATTTTGGTCAAAAGACTGATTTTCCTGGGATAAACAACGTCTTTCCCATAGTAACCAATAGTTTATGCATCCATTCCGACATTCAAAGTTAGAACAACGGATGACCTTCTGATCTTTATCATGCTAATTTTTTTTCTTGAAATCGATAACTTTTGACACCAAAGAAACAAGTTTAAATCCTTCTGAGCCAAATGTTCTAGGTATGAACTATGTTCACCTGAGACATTTGATTCAAATAAAAGTAACTGCAGTCAATTCATTAAGTCCGTATTAAAAATATACCCAGCTATGATAAATGAAGTAGATTCGTCAGCTTTTTGATATCATCTTTCTACTGTTGTGTAAATGCTCAGCTTTGGCTTTTAGTTCTAAAAATTCTTCTTGAATAACATCTGTTATTGCCTTTCTGATTTCCATCTGAAAAAAATGAAGCTTTCAAATTGTATGAATTTATTCCAGGATATTCTCACTGCCCCCCCCCCCCCCCCAAAAAAAAAAAAATGAATACCTGGATTAATCAGTGTGTTAAATGACTGCACCACTTTCTCTCTCAACATGTTTTAAAATTCCATATTCATTGTAAATGTATGAGCAATAAAAATTTTAAAATTAAACACTTGCTGGTTTTTGTTTATCTTTTGTTCTAAGACTTGTAATAAATATACTTACGGGGGACTTTTTAGCTGTCTTCAACTGATCCAATAATGTCTTAAACTCCAGGGGTTTTCCAACATATATAGTCAGTTCCTTGACAAAAGAAAAGAAATATTTTCCCGTTGACCATTTTCTTCTGTTGAAAAAGTTGAAATTCGGACATTTAAATTACAACTCTGCATGCTTTAAAAATTCTTTATTTTATAGAATATCAGATAAAATGCAGTTTTCAATGGAAAATTAATTCATACTTAGATTGCGTTAAGACAAAGTCAGGATAGGGATATTTCACCTTCAAAATTCTGGGTGGAAAATAAGGCTTTCTATTTGGCAACACATCATCTGCCCCTTAAATATTAATAATGATAATAGTTATTATAAAAATAATAATAATGATTACATTGTTTCAAAATCACACAGTGGCATCACAATACACCTCTACAGACCAAATATATCAAATTATAGTACAACAGTTCCAACTTGTAATCCTTAACATAACAATAGACACAGTTCAATTGTCCATTTGATTCGGCTGAAATAATTTCTGACATCTACAGTCTGACATTTGAGGGATGGGACTACAGGCTCTTCTTCAATCTGACTTACAGTTTGTTTCATTTCAAGTCTAAAATTGATCTTGTCTGAACTGGACTCCTAACTGTTCTCCAGTCGTACTTACCTAGGTGCCATATTGGAATGACCAGAGGATCAATCTTACACTCTGCTATCAGTCTTCCAACTCCTGAATGGACAATACAGATGTTTGTACATATATGATGATATGCAGCATGACAGGGTTAAAATGTAGCTGTCCTCTTTTTCTTTTTTGTATTTAGAACTGTGCAAATAACTTCATTTTTATTTACACAAGCAGCAACAAAAAACCTCTTTCCCCAACAACAATTACGATTATGCAGCCATTAAAATTCAAAGTGAAGATCTAGAACTGCAAATTCACAAAAATAGTCATATCATTCAAAATTAATTCTGTATATTCCCTTACCCCATTTCAGCCTCATTGGTTCTTTTGTTACATTGATTTTACCTGAGGATTAAAGGAAACAAGAACAAATGTGTTACATGACATGTGCATACATTGACGTCTCATTATGTAGTAACATCTTTTTTCATATTTCGCATATCTGGGTAATAAGAGAGAGAATAGGCCATGATTTACTCATCATCAATAAGTAATCATTTTTAAATTATTGAAATAATTAATAAGTATGGCCTTAAGCCATTTGTTTACACCAAAACAGAACAACAAAGGAAAAAAAAACATCTTGTGGGATACTGTTATTATTATTATTATTATTTTTTATTTTTATTGATAGGGGAGGGGGCAAAAAGACAAGTGATGAAGACATGGTTTCAGAACACAGCCAACGGACAGTCAGAGGACAGACAATGAAAGTTGTCCAAGACAGAGAATACATGATTTACTCACCTTCAGGAAACACGTGCACCCAGTTGCCCCTGTTGAGTTCATCAACCAAAAAGTTCATGGTGTGCTGGAAGACACCGTCCCCTCTGCGTATAGGGACCACCTTGCCCCAGGAACACAGGCGGTTCGTCAACGGCCATTTACTGATGACATCTTCAGCACCCGGATCCCAGCGCATTAACTCTGTGTTCAGTAGGTGGCGCCACTTCAGCACACCTGGTACAAAATATCTTTTTATACTTATTAAGATGAAGGCTAGGTGTGTATTCTGATATATATATATATATATATATATATATATATATATATATATATATATACTAGTATATATACACACACACACACATATATGTTACTTTGACTGAAAAAATAAAATATTTAAAAAAAAAAAAGATAAAGGGTAGTTAATTTATCTACATTTTAATTGAATCAGTAACATATAGAAAAGGGGGTTTGGGGGGGGGGGGGGTAATCCCACAAGATATTTGAATATGATTTTTTTTTCAGTGATCTTGAAAATTACTTCTGTCAAGAACTTTGACAACCAGCATAACTGTCAACTGATCTTTAAGAACCAATTTTTCTCTACCACCTTTTCCCTTACCAATCTGTAATATATTTGCAATAAAACACTTATCTTGCAAATGGTTTTTTATCATTTCCAGGTTACCTTGAATGTTTTAGGCCAAGGTATGACATCTATTTATGCTTTACAGACACTCACCCCAAATAAGTGGATCATCTATACATGAGGCATGGTTGCTAACTGTGATTAAAGGACGTCCTTGACGGGATTCAAGAGCACTTTGTAGAAATTCTAGGTTATGTGTCTGTACATAGGAAATCTCTGAAAGGATAAGAAAGTTTTCTTTGAAATTTGTCTGAGTTTAATTTTGAAAAACTCAGTTAGACAATAGTTTGGTAACTGGTGCAGAATTTAAAATCCTTAAGAAAAATTCCTACAGCAGAGCCTGTAGGAATTTTTTCGTAAGGGAAGTTATTATGACTTTATCAGATATGCAAAGAATGAAGACTTATGGCCAACATATTAATATAGAAAAACTAACCAGCACACTCTCACCAGGGGTTGAATTAAATATAAAGGGCATATAAAGGGGGGGGGGGAGAAGAGGAGGGGTCCAGTCTTCTGTAATTCATGGCAATGTAATTAAACTTCAAAAGCGCATAGGCTGCATCATACATACACTAGCAATTATAAAAATATAATAAAAATCACAATAAGTTCGAGCCTTACTGGACCACATTTTGCTGATCATGTTAAAGAAGGACAAGGTCATCCAGCTCGGCATCCGCCATCGCAGTGGAAACCTTCCATCAGCATTCCTTGGAGGGACGAGCCACTTTAATTTGGAGTCCCCTGGTTTTTGGGTCATTTTATTTTGTAATAGTTGTCCACTTAATGCAGTGTATAAAAATGGTTAACAAATATCAAAATACACGTTTATTAAACTTCATACAAGCTACTTCGACGGTGCCCGGGTTGAGAGTCGCGGTTTCATGGGCGCAGACATCTTGTTCGATGACGTCACTGAATCCAGGAAGTGATTAAGAAATCAAGTTTGTCCCAAAATAGACAAACACCAAGCTTTTGCGAAAAAAAATGGTTATAACTCAGTTTTGTTTGGGGTGTAACCGTTTGCAGACAGCCAAAGTCAAAATTTTACATCGTAATACAAATTTGGCCAAATTGTGCTAGTTGTGACAAGTTAATTGAGTTGAGTAACTACAGTCACAACTAGCACAATTAAGGCGCTCACAGCTTACAGCCTTTTGCAGCAAGATGATTACATTGATGCCGACTACTTTCGTTTACTGAAGAGCTTTCTCGTTTTTTTTTTTTTTTTTTTTTTTAATGGTAATTAAATTTTTTTTACACCATGACGTGATCTGAAATACATTTCTAAAAACATCTATCTTTTTTCCCCAAAGCCATGACAGTTTTTAATTCCCTATAAAATGTTGGTAAAGATATTTAGACCCAAGAAGCACTAAATGTTGTTTACTTAGTAAAAACTAAGTAAATGACTGTTTTATCACAATTCAGTATTTGTAAATTTATACAGATAAATACGTTATTTTCATGTTTTGTAAACATTTTATTGAGTGCCAAGACCACATTCCACTACTGACAGTGAATACTCCATTTTGACCAAATTTAACAAAAAGTTTTCCAGGTATTTAAAAAACACCTGAGTGATACAGGGGGTCTGATACAATGTATGATCTCTTTTCTTTTATCTCTAAAGATCTCAAGAACAAAAAACCTAAAATGTATGATTATAAACAAGAAAGGGGAAATATTAAATATTTTTTGACATTTGAAATAATATGAAAACATATTGCATCAAAAAGTGACATGTACCTCTAAAATATACATTATTTAATAGAGATACATTTTACGCTGTTGGATTTGACAAGACTGTACACCGCTGGGGAAAAGTTAGTAATCACATTAGTTTGGTCAGTCAATTAATATGATATAAGGCATTATCATGGCAGAATTGTGGAGCTTTTGAAAAATATCTTAAACTCTCTCTTGTAACTTTATCAAATAGATTTCAATAAAATTATACAATCCTTTTATCTGTTTATACTACGCACTGTACATTTTAGAACCTATTACTTATTCAAAATATGATCTTCACCATCTCATGGTTCATATGTGTCTACTTATGGCATCATTTTCAAAAGAAATGTTTAACAAAATATCACTTATTAATTAATTCTTAGCAACAATGATATGTACAGTTAAACTCAACAAATTGGAAACATTCTCCTCAGCTGTGTAATTAATATATCTAGAAATTGATGAGGTCACAAATTTTAAAAATTTTTACTAGGATAAGACTTTTTTTCAGAATAAATAAATAAATAGGCTGACAAGCTTTAAGCAATTTTTAAGTAAAAACTAAGTATATGACTGTTATAATTATTTGTGAATTGCACTGTTATTACTAGTAGTGAAAATATTTTCATCTGTCCATTTACAAATAAAAATCTGCCAGTCTGTTTAGATTTCATCATCTTACAACTCAGAGCTACTAGAACTGAGTCACAATTATTCTTCCATTACTAACCACAGATCTGCATCCAGCTTTCCACAGTTGTAGAAACAAAGATACAATTATAAATTCTTGCTTCTAGTGGACTTGTAGTTTAAACTAACAATGTCAAACACACTGTACAGCATCACAGTTTTGTACGACTAATAATATGTATATACCGTATATATTCTTGTGTAAGAAGTACTCATCTGTCCACAGTGCACTGAACTTCAAAAATATCAACCACAATAGGCTTTAAGCTGAATATGTCTCTGCTTCTGGCTGTATCTCCTGTTAATTCTCTCAGTTTTCTTGGATATAAAGAATAATATGTACTGTATTTCTCTATGTAAAGAGGGAAGTTCATATTTATTTTGCCAATTTGTTCTTAATGTAACAGAAATAATAATCCCTGCCATTTCTTTGTTTCAACTGAGAAGATGCAGAGAAACAAGGAACAATCAGCTGACGTTTCAAGTAAAAGGCCTCTTTTGGCCTTAGACTCATTCTGCCCGTTAGTGGTTGGTAACGAAACTAGATTTAGTGACTTGATGTTGCTTCACCTCTCTCTCTCTCTCTCTCTCTCTCTCTCTCAGAACTTGGAAAGAGCTCATGTCAACTCTGCCTTGTTTGCCTCAAATCCAGACGGAATATCAGCATTGATGCTATAGTCTCCAGAGTCTAGCACAGTGAAGTCCTCAGAATGGTCGTACAACGGGTTCTTACTCGGACCGATGTCAAAATCCTCCTCCCCACTTCCTGTTGCACTGTTTGTGTCGAAAGGCGTGCTATCGTAGCCGGACGTCATGGAAGCATCGATGCGCGGCGTCTGATAGGGCAGGCTGACCTGGTCGTCTTCGACGCCCCCCTCGTCCATGTGAGATTTGTATGAAAACAAAAGATTCAACCTCGGAGTTCTGAAAAAGGAAACAAAATATTTCTTAATTTTGGAACAATAAGTTATTTTGAAAGTGTTTCATCAGATGTACTTTGTAAAATAGAAAGAAGAAATTGAGTGAAATAAATAGAATATATCTTGAGAAGAATGTTCATCTACAACACTTCTTTTCTAAAAACTATTTTCTAAAAATTAAGGTATTTATTTGTTCTTTTTCAGACATTTCAGTGCATATGAAGGAAGTAAGCAAGAATTAAAACAGCAAAATACAGATATCAAAAAACTATGACCAATGTTATATTTCAAATGGACTTAATTTCTCACCCAAAAAATTTCCACAAAAATGTACAAAACACAAGTGGTGCAAACATGGAAAAGTAAAGATAGGCGGCGACGTCCACCACACACATGCCTTCAATTGCACCCATTTCTAACGCTGCGCTGCCAATAACTTCACCCAGGTTTAGCAACGCTAGTATGCCGCAGTAGATATAGAAACTCTTCTTAGCTGTAATGTGTAAGTAAGTGTGACATAAGTTTAATATTTGTATTGGTTTTAAAACACGCATAATTTATATAATATCTAAATTTAAATATATCAGTATGCTAAATATTTGATGTTATTGAAGCATACTTAAATGCTTTGCATGTCACTTTTGATTTGCTTTCAATATGACATTCCCGGCAGAGAGTTTCACCCTTATTGCTGAAAAATTAACCCTGCCTCACGACATTCTGGCAAATGTTCTAGTCACGTTTAAAGTCATGCAGTATGGAAAGACTCATTTTAGATGATCCTATGATACTCATTGTGTTGCTTGAACATGATCTGCTACTTACATGGCAAGTTGAGCTTGTCCTTGAGTGGCGTATACGGCAAGACAAGTACCGTGATGTACACCTTTATATATAGTTAAAATATACAAGAATTATCATCAAGTAAAACAAACTTTTGTATAATTGAATAAGTAAATATAATAAGTCATTCCATTTCAAATCTTTTCTAACAGTAAAAATATTACTGCAGGTACCATTATATCTTGTTAGGTTTCTAGTGTGCCTAAATTTGTAAAATGCGAAATAAATAATTTAATAGAGTCTCAAAAAGGCTTTTATATATTAGAATAATTGTTACTATAAACACATCTTTGTTAATACAGTCAAGCCTTGGTGATCTTGGCAAACTTACCACTAAGAAGAATGCCGCACTGGCACACAAAAAGATCATTCCTCCATGAGCAAAAATATCATAATTTTCTCCCTCCAAGTAATATTTCTTGTCATGGTAATGGAACTCCAATACACCCTGAAAAAAGAGGAAAAAAAAATCATAAATATTATTAGTGAAGATATTACTGGTTGTAAAGAATAAGTGAATAATTTTGGAAATATTACACATTTTTTCTACTGTCACAAAAGTCCATGAAAATGACCCAAAAAATTTAAGATATTACTGGCAAATATATCATTTTAAATGAAGACAAATATCTTTTAAGCATGAAGTAGCGGGGCTAAAAATCTGTCACAAATTCAACCCAAAATCAAACTCTTTAAACAATTTGAAACTAAACAAACAGGAAAAAACTCACACCTACCTGTGTTATTGAATAGATTGCTGCAAGGAAACAAGTAATTGCCAGGACTCTCCTGATACTGGTCCTGCTGTCCAGGTGACCTGGAATAGAACAGCGGTCAGGTGATTATCATGACACTGGGAGATAAACATGACACTGGGAGGTAAACATGACGCTAGGAGGTAGACATGACACTTGGAGATAAACATGAGACTGGGAGATAAACATGACACTGGGAGCGCTGGGAGATAAACATGAAACTGGGAGACAAACATGACACTGGGAGACAAACATGATGCTGAGAAATGAACATGACACTAGGAGATGTCCATGACACTGAGAACCCAATATACATTGATGTAAGCAATTATTTTATATGACTATTTAAGTTGACAACAGTACACTGCAAACTTACCAAACAACAGTCCAAAAATGACAACAGACATTTCTGTAGCTAACAAGAAAAATCTCAGCACCAACCATAATATCTGGAAAAGAATGACCAAAATTTTATCAACTGGATGTTTAAAACAATAACTTGTTAAAAGCAACAGACTTGTGGAAAATTCTATTCTTACATATCAAAAGATTCTCCATCTCAAGCATGTCTGCTTGCGTGTCTTTTGGTTTCATTTGTTTGTTTGCATTTTTGTTTGTCTGCTATTTGCCAACTTTCCCACTTCTTGTATTATTTTGTCTTTCTGTTTCTTTGTCTATCTGGCTACCTGGATGCTTGTTAGTTTGTCTACATATTAGTTTTTCTGTCAGTCTGTTCTGACTATAAAGAAACCTCACCTTATCAGCAATATTATGGTGACTCACTATCATGGCTATCACTGCACGAATCACTCCAATTATACAGATCACCCACACCTAGAAAGATGGACAATTTTTAATAAAATATATATCAAATTCAATTCATATTCAATTTATTTATTGAAAAAAAGAGCCCAATGAAATCATCAAGTTAAAATAACAAGACTTCTGTATCTCCTTACACTATGATCTCTGGACAACTTCAATAAAATCTTCCTTCAAGTACTTCCTTCTCTCCATGAGTCTCATCCAGAGACAATCCTGTTGTACTACAATTGTGTCTTTCGTCCCCTTCAGCAGTTCTTAACCCTTGTCTTTTAAAACTCTCCTCAAATCATCATTTTGAACTGGTATGCAAGACATTTTTTTTTCTCCACCTACTTTATATTTTTCTCGAAACTTGCCAATAAATTAACCCAGTGCAAGCTTTAGTATCAATTTTGTTCTCATGGCACGTCCAAGCAATCACCAAAGTGTAAATACTGAGCAGAAAACAACTAAGCGAGGGTATATCACAGCATAATCTAAACAAAAACATCCCACAGGGAGTAGTACTGACCAGAGTGTAAAAAGCTGTGAAGATAGGGCTGCCTGTGGTGCCGAGTTTCTGTAGCGCTGTTCGTATCCTCAGTAGCATGAAGATGGCAAATATCACGTTGGGAACCAGGATCATCAAGTCCCAGATACGGACGCTGATTTGAAAAAAAAAAAAAAAAAAAAAAAAAAACACAGAGGATATAGTAGAGGTGTTAGGTGAATAACAATCAAGATTTTAAAAAATACAAAACAGAAATATTAACTTTTAAAAAGACTTCAAAGCACTAAGAAAATGACTAAATTAAAGAAAATATGAAGCATCAAACTGTCTTTATCTTTAAACAATCAAAATCACTTAAAATAACTGGTGGTGAACATTTTTCAGCTCTAAAAAATTCTGAATGTTATTCTACTTTTCAAGGTTTACAAGTATTAAGAATGTAAATCTATTCATATATGTTTACACCTTTTTAACTGTGTATTCCATAAATTCATATCAATGTCGTCAAATCTTTATATCAATAAGGGGTTCTCAATCAATTAAATTTCAATTCATCAATAAGTTAAATGTGATTAACAAAATAGATATACATTTCAATAAAATTTTATGACAGCATTACTTACTGTGAGTCGTTGATATCTTCGTACAGAATCCATTGGCATGGTGGCAGTGTGATTATAGAGGGCGCTGGTAGTGGTGTGGAGGCGTTGGGAGGCGGTGCTGTGCTAAGGTTGCCTGGAAAGACGGTGAATTCAGTGCTGGTGTTGTGATATTTGCTGCTGCAGTTCTGATTACTTCATAAATCAAAGATGAGGAAAAAGCTTAAGATCTGAACCTTGAAGAACCTGCAGCTTAACCCAACTCAGTGTGTGAAATAGCAGAAAAAGAAAAAGGATTATCTATACAGGGGCGGATCCAGAGATACTTTCTGACTAATAATCTTTGTTGAACCATCCTCCAGTTTTGACAGTTTTCTGACAGTAAAAAATGAGATATTCCCCAGTGTAAACATCTGACCATTTTCTAGAAGACCCAGAAGACGGCCTGTCTGCCTCTGCTATTGGCTTTCTTGTAGACATACAGAAGAAACCCAACCCCCCTGCCTCCTGAATTCCTCCAATTTTTTATCATTGTACACAAAATCCAGTTACTTAGTAAACTTGACCCTTTTTGATCCATGAAGTGACATTCAGCAAACAATTATACTATAACTATTCATGAAGAAGAAGTCTATATCATATCTCCATGTTATCTAGCTTTGATGCTCTATCAATGCCCAGATAACAGTTTTAATTACATATCATTGTGGGTAACAGTTACAGATTAGATAAGCTCGTTATGTAAACACAATAGTGATAAGGGCAGTCCAGACTGTTATTCTTCAGTTAACATATTGACTTTGTAACTATTATTCTAATTCTATTACTCTTCATCATAACAATTGAAATAAACCTTCATGTTGGCATATAGGATGGATGTCTTTGATCTAAAATGCTTATTTTCTTGACTGTGTATTTCATTTTCATTTTTCTTGATATCATAACTTTATCAACATGATTAAGATACTATTTTCACTGAAATTCACAACATTTGTAAAATCTAGCAAAAATAATCTTTCCTCATTTTAAGACAAAACAGGAAACAGGTTATCAAAGATAAAGTGATAAAATAATTATTAAATTTAGACTAATTCCATTTGCCTGAAGTAAATCTTTATTTTCACATGCAAAGCAGTGAGCAGATTGTGAATGGTCTGAAAAAGGCAAATTGTGCTTTTAAATACAGGAAATATTCAGGACCCAGTGAGAGGTTAAATGAAGCTCAACATAAGCTCCACAGGTACTTGTGACAAACTGACCTCTGTAAAAATGCCTCTAAGCCTTACTGTAATTTTAATTTAAGTTTCCTAAATTCATATTGATACATTCATAATGTAAAAAACAAATGAATTCAAAATTGAGTTAAAAATTATCTGTGCACACTATGGATAACTCTTTTTCCCATTTCAGTTTCTTTCTTTACCTTTGCCAAAGTACACTGCTTGAACCCTCACTGTGCAGACACCAGTTTGATTACAATAAGGCCAGACGACATCATGTCAGTTACACAGTTTACCACAGAGATGAAAGTGGACCATTAAAAACATCAGGAAAGGGTAAGCACCAAAGGTATGTACCAGTACCTCATCTTTTTTTTTTTTTTTTTAAGGGGGAGGGGAAGGGGGGGGGGCAAGGCAACTGAAAAATTTTTAATCATTTTCTTAAGTTTACAAATATCTTAATTTCTGAATAAATCTGGACGGCTTTCATCTCTGCTACCATAACTGTTCTGAATGCTAGTCATGTACCTCTTCTGACAACCATAAGTATCAACAGACATTGTTAGTATGTATTCACAAAATGGAAGGTCAGCAATGCTCGACCCATTACTGGACATTCCACCTGTTGTCATGGTTGCCATGGGAACTACAGAGGGATAAAGGAGTAAAAAGTACAATTGCTGAAATTAAAGACAAACTTAAGAAATTTACTTTTACTTTTTCGAAAAAAAAAGTGGATTGGACTGAGTATAGTGGTACTGACAAGACAGTTTTCATCATTTTTTTTAAACAAGGGTTCATTGGTCCTAAGGTTCTACAATATAGTGAACATTCGGACCAATGAACCTTCGAACTATTGCTACGGCCCCGAGCAAGATATAGCAGAATACAAGGTATTTATCACATTAAGTGCAAGCACTGAAGTAGAATATCAGAACACATACACGTAAATAGCATTTACGTATTATGAAAGACTGGTCCATTGTGGAGTTTTGAAATCAATACATAAATTAACAAATGTGTCAGGTACGCACCTTGTGAAGTGTTTCCTACCAGAGCTGCAGTATGGGTCTGTATCAGGGTGTCATCTGGGAGAAAGAAAGCCTTCTTCAGCCCCATCTTGATGCTACTTCACTGAAAACCTGTGTCATCACACCAAATAATAATAATAATAATAATAATAATAATAATAATAATAATAATAATAATAATAATTAGAAGAGGAAGAAGAAGAAGAACAACAGTAATATAATTATATTAATAATAATAATAATATTAATAATAACTGCTACTTCAATTCTGTGAAAACCTGTATAATCTAAATTACAGCTGCATAATAATTGTGATGATCAATTTAAGTTCAATTGTTGTTTTTTCATAACCATTTATTAACTTTATTGGTACAATATGATATGATTTATCTAGCATTTAAGATGTAAAATATACATACATACATATATACTATAAACATGATACAGTAAATATGTGGACAAAAAAAGAGGTCGTAACTTGACACTGAATACAGTAACACAACGCAATACTTAACATTTGGATTAGCATAATTAAGAAATAAATTTCTAAACCTTCATATCCCCTACTGTAATCGACTGAAATTTGTTAAATATGTGAAACTGAAAATGAACATTTTGATTGCGCACTTTCGTAAACAGTTTCCTTCGCCGACATCTACCGCCCACACTTTTCCTACTATAGGCAGTCTAACATTCAATTACAACAACTTTGACAGAAGATTGGCCAGTACCTGTATTGATAATAAGAAAAACCGCGAGGTAATTTTCCGAGGAAAGTCTGAAATTAAAGCAAGTTATTTCAATAACAAATACCTGACATTTTCTTTCCTTCTAGTTCCTTCAAAGTGTAACAAATAGTGGTCGATGCTATGCGGATGTAAATCTAGTGATATTATCCAAGACAGCCTTTTATTATTTGCACGGACACTGCGAGCCCTGTTCGTTAGTGAAATTGCGATCATTAAAGCTCCTAAGTGTTCTTTTTCTTTCAAAGTAACAAATGAAAGTAACAGCTTTCAAGTGTGTTATAGTTACCAAAATTGTATATGAATGTTTGGTAATATTATTTCAACTTCCAGGAGACAAAACATAGGCTTAAAACGGGGGCGTCTCGATAGTCCGAAGGTTCATTGGTCCGAAAAGTGGTAACATTTTCATCGATTTTTTTAATCAAGGGTTCATTGGTCCGAAGGTTCTATAGTGAATATTCGGACCATTGAACCTTCGGACTATTGAACCTTTCGGACTATTGCTACGGCCCCCTTAAAACAATATCTTGACTGTGCCATTTACTTTCAATTGAAACTTGTTGCAAGTCACTCTTTCACTTCCTTTACTGTTCTTTGGAAAATTATTTTCAAACAAAATTCTAAAATTTCTCTCACCATTACGTCATTGACAAAACCACATTTACCTTAATAAAAACAAAATACAAACAATACAGAATGGACATATATATTTATTTATTGATATTCACCATCAGTTTTTTTATAATATACAAGATGATGTCTGTAAGATCTTCAGCGAGTCCCGTCTCTCCATGGGATTACATTTCACAAGCGAATATATTCCTAAATGCCAACAAGAACATCTTCAAACTCGCATCAACCTGTCAATGAACCAGCAACCTGGCTTCAACACCTGCTGCACAGCAAAGATTAAAAAAAATTGTGCCACTGACATTTAGAGAGTCACAGTTCAATATTTGGCTCAAAAGCAGAGAAAAATGTTGACATTTCAAACAATCATATATAGATCAGGGACCCCTAGAATGCACTTAGTGACAAGGACCCCTTTTTAATGTGCATGAAAATACACAGCAAAAGTTTTGAGGAATTTTGGAAAAAGATGCAGAAACAGGCCAGATAATTATGAGATCAGGCACATTTCAGATGTTTAAAATCGCTTTAAGGGCTTGATAAATTTTGTAAAAAGATGCAGAAACAGGTGAGATCATTATGAAATCTGAAGCACTTCAATATTTTATTTTTTTTCCCCAATACTCATTATTTTCTAGTAACTACTAAATATCTGGGGGAAATATTAACAAATTCAAGTTTCTGTTAAGCACCACCAACACTTTTAACCATGTCAATATTAACACAGACATATATGACATTTAAATTATTTACCAAACAGAAAATGCCATCATAAACCTTTTTTCTTTTCCAACCGTTTACACGAGTTAAAGACCTGATAAATTAAAAAAAAAAAAAAAAAAAAAACCCTTGGTCAACTTCATGAAACTTGGTTTCACCCCCAGACCTGTGCGTCTTTTGTCAAAGCTTTTAAGTTATTTATCACAAACAAAAACTTTCTAACCAGCTGGTCATAAATGAGAGGTAGAACTTTTTTTCAGTTGCCTGCACTGACATGAGATAAAATATGCAAACCTTCAGACACCACATACACAATTTTACCATTATGCAGTAATTTTTCCTCAAGCAACAGCTATTAACACTTATTTGCCATTTATTGAAGAAAAAATATAGCTTTTTTCTTCGCCTCATGAGACACTTTTTAACTTAGTCTTCAATTCACTTGGCTTCAAATCCAGGACTGCAAGGTTGACAGATCATAAACAATGAATAGCCATATTACAATACCAAGACTGCTTACCTCTTGGTTTGATTAAAAATATACTGACCTTTACTATGTAGCAGACAGCAGGATGCCCTATACAAACACCCAATATAAATGGGTTTACAAATATACTGTGTACATGTTGTACACACAAAATAAATAAATAAAAATTGTTTAAAATGATAATAATAACAGTGTTGGAATAAAATGTTATATACAAATGTACAGCTATGCACAATTGGGATCGATACAATGTGTTGATATTCATATATAATGACTTGTGTATATCATTAAGTAGATGTGCCCACTATGGCATGATAATATTACCAAAACCATCTGGACATCACTAAACTTGTAAAAGAAATGTTCTCAACTGCTTAAAAGAAATACACAGGACTAGCAGACAAATGCTAAGATCTGCAGGGAGTCCAAAGATTCTGATCCAATATGAAACAGCCAAGTCTAAATACCCAACCTTTCTGTCCATGGAAGGAGCAGATACAGTTATTATTATTTTTTTCATTAATTCAAAATATTAATTTCAGCTATTAAATATTATCTTCATTGCTTTTTTTGTCACATAGGAACAAAGCAATTTGATCTTATGGCTGATAAAATTGGTAGAAAAGCAAAAACAAAATTTATCTCGCAGAAAGTCGAAGCATTGAGGTCAACCTCTCAGCAGACTCGGCCGGTAATGTTGGTACCACATGCTGTGCAGAACAGAAAAATAAATAAAATTTCCCCTCCAGTTACGGATAAAAGTTTTCATAAAGCGATGAGCTTGTATGGAGTACAACACCACTAACTGGGAGCCTGAAGGATAACTCGTCAATGATTTTATGCACAGGAACATAAAATTACGGCAACACGCAAGGTTTTTATGACTATGTGATGAAATTTTCAGAGATTAGTTTGTCTGTAGGGAGTGAACTATGACCTTGGATATTTTCCATATCTACAATTTTCAAAAATGTTCTAGAACAGCAGTCTGTCAAAACTTTGAAGCAATGGAGGCACTGCATTTTGCCCACCACATGAAAATAATCCAAAAATGAACTATTCCAAGCTTTCCTCTTGCCTTTCTTTATACAATTAATTAAAACTGTGGAATAAGGCAGGAGCTACACTCCAAAGTGGACCAATAATTCACTGAACTTGGAAAATCTTTCTTTAATACACAGCCTTCATTTTGTCTCTTACACATAAAAGCGCATAATTCCTAATAATTATTTCAGTGAAGGTTAAAATACAGATTCCAAAATTAGAGAAAGGTAATAGCCTTGCTGATCCAGATGATAATTTTGGGAGTATAATTATTTTCATAAGGGCATTTTTGATGTAGTCACCAGCAAATAAAATATATCTTAAACCACACCAGTAGTGAACAACAGCAAATTTTTGTGAATTACCGTAAGACCAACAATGAAAATTAAATGACAACTTGTTTAAAATTACAATTTCCCTAATGAATTACTTAGTGTATAAAGCTAAGTGTATTCCAAATGCAACAGCTACACTGCTGGTGAAAATTTTGGCAAAATCAAAAATTATGAACCAATTTCAAGACAAACTGGGCAAAAAAATAGTACACTCACATCAGCATTCAGAATTTGCCTTAAATGTGCTATTTGAGAATGAGCAAATGATAGCACACAAGTACTCATAAATTTTAAATCAATAACAGATTCCTTTGATGGAAAATCTAATCCAAGTAGATGACTTCCTCATAGAGCACAAGTTCCTCTTCTGTACTACTATCAGAGGTGATTTCCCCATCCTCCTCAGAAACCAATGGAGCCATCCTCTGACCTTGACCTCCAAAGTTGACCTTGACCTTACCATCTGAAGTCCTGGTATGTCCTCTACTGTTACTGTTGTTGTTGTTGTTATTATTGTTTTGTTTACTGAACCGCATCCAGTGATTATTCCCTAACTTGGACTGAAGGTTTTTACTGAGTGTGCTGGATGTAACCCTTCCTGTTCTCGGACGACCTTGCTTCTGCTGAATTCCTGTGACCTTGTTCACTCTTGAGAGCGATGACCTCGTCTTTAGTCTGCCTTCATTATCTTTAAATTAAAGCACAAAAATGCTTTTATCATAAACATTGTGATAATTATTTCACTTTGGTTCAATAAAAAAAAATTAGAATTATCAATAAAAAAAATGTGATAATTATTTGTTGGAGTGACTGAAGTGCAAGCATGTACATCAGATATGAAGCACACGACTGTAAAAATGCAATTGTATGTTTAAGTAACAGCCCCGAGTAGAATATTATTATGTAAAGATTTATTCTTAAACTATTTGCACATAAAACAATATAATACATTATTAACACACACCAACTCTCCAATTACTTGCATAGTAAGATAACATGCTGGCACCTGCCCACGCAACTGCAACCCTCACCTTTCCTCCTGTTGCTTCCCTTGCTTTCCCGGCGGTCCTGTCTTGCACTGCTGACCCACTTACTGCACATATCACTGCTATCGCCTTCCAGGGAACATTTCCAATTCTCGATAGCCTCCCAGAAATTTGGTTTATCCAGACGGAGGCTGCTCCCGTCAGCTTCCAGTCGGGCAGATTTGCCATTTTGTCTGACACTTTCATGTAATTTTCTCTTGCTGGCAGTCGAGCCAGTAGAAGAGGTTGGTGAATGAGTCCACGACCTGGTCCGCCTGTGACTAGCGCTACTACTGATAGTAATTCCAGAATCTTTATCATCATTTTTCTCACTGGTCTTCTTAGCATGTTGATTATAATGGGCAGGGGACTGTTTTGATTTGAACGTCTCTGTGCTCTCAGGGGAAGACGAGAGACTGATGGTCAGAGGTTCATGAAAGGCCACCGTCTCAGGATCGAGAGAGCGATTCTGTCTGGTTCTTCCTCCACTACCCCAATGTGATGAAGACAATGGAATGCCATCCATGACAGAATTCATATCCTCTCGACTGATCCTGAAAGAGATTTCGGAGTCTACTGACATCTCGGAACATGAAGAAGATGAGCTACTTTTTCTGCCTCGTCCTACACCCTCCATTGTTCTTTTGTTGGATCTTAGGGATCTCCATTGCTGATTGCCTGTAGCTTTACTCTGCTGCTGTACATTTCTCCCTTGTTCAGCTGTGATTGTCCCTTTACTGCTCTGGTGTACTGAAGAGGAAACCGCGGCAGATCCAGATCTGTGAGTTTTACAAGGAGAAGGGTCTCTTGATTTTTGCTTCAGCTTCTCGCTGCGAGATATACCTCTGGTACTGGACCTCTGATTTTGCCTCTGTGGCTCCTGACTGAACGAAGACTCTGAATCCACACTACATATTTCCAAAGACCAGTCTGACTCAGAGAGGGTTTGGTCGACCTCAGTGTTGGTACCACCAGCATGAGGTGCAGCAACAACAGGAATGTCTTCCAGCACAATGATGGAACTGCTTGAGGAATCCGAACTTGAAGACGCTGATCTCCTGCGGGTGAATCTTGGACAAGGCTCTTCCCACATGGAGATTTGTTTGGGCGAATGGTTTGTTTGCGTTCCCACAGCAACAGCTTTGAGAGATGACGGACATGTTCTTTTACTTGTTCTTTGAACCAAATCTTTGTTGTTGTTAGCACTGACGTGTTGTGGGAATTTTCCACCTGGAGATCCGTGTGTAGTAATCCTATTGTTTGGCACTTGACAGGTCTGACTGAAATATTCTCCTGAAGACACTGGTGCTGGTGATTTGTCCAACAAACTGGCTAAAGTTGGCAACTTATTCTGTGGCGATTTATTTGGTGACTGTGACCTTGACCTACATTGACCTACTTTAGATCCCGAACTCTTTTCCTGATTGGTAGAGGTTGGATGAACTATGAGATGACCTCTGCTGATAGAGTTCCCAATCCTGCCCCTGGACCCACTTCCTCCCTCTAACTCAGACAGCAGACTTCGGTACACATGGACCCCTGGTTCTCTAAACGCGACACCAAGTTCCCCAGGAGGCAGTCGTGCCGCAGCAAGCCACCCATCTCTTGGTGAGGTCCCATTCATTTTTGGGACTGCGTCCTTGTCTGGGGTTTTTACCCAGAGGGCGATCTCTGTTGTCGACAACGGTTTTAGGTCTATGACGGGAACCTTCACTGGTTTCACCCATTTTTTAATGTCCTCTTTTTTAAGTCTCTGTAGCACCACTTTACATTTGGGTAAACTTCTGGCCAGTTTCCTTCCCCTTTTATCAAGTCCTGTGACAAGTCTTTTGTACTGTTCTCTTCGTTGTCTGGTGGAGAAGGTATACATGTGATAATACTTAGGGTTAGTCCTTCGCGTCTTTTTAAAAGTGATTGGAAAATTGGCGTTCCTTTCACGGAGTTTCCCCATGACTGCACTCTTAGTGGGTGTGTGACAGAAGCGATTGTAATCGAGAATGACACTTCCGGTGCCCTCGCTGCCAGGCTGCACCAAGCGCTTCACGCGTTTACCCAGTGGAGAGCTCACGTCAATTGTCAGTAGATTCCCTCGACCCATATACCCACTCTGCCTCTCGTCTGTCTCACTAATATCTGACGATGCATCCGAAACGCTTTCCAAATCAGCCGGCCGGTCCTCCTTGCAAACACTTAGTCTGCGCCAACTTGGGGTGTGTGGAGTGTGGGGGGTGTCGGGAGGTTCTCGTGTGAGCTGTGACAGCAGTGACTTTGGGGTGCGGGGGGTGGTGGGGGACCTAGGCGTCTGGGGTTCCTCCACCTCCAGAGCCTTGTCATCAATGACAATGTCCTTCTTTTTCTTCTTCAGTTCCTCTGCTTTGTACTGGGGCAACAGGCCTAACCCTACGAATAAATATATAATTAATCAACCCAATTCACTAGCTCTTGATATTTTATAAATTTTATTTATATTTATTTCTCATGTCAATATCTAGAAGATATAGTTTCCAGGCACTGTCTATGATAACTAGTGACACCTTTCTAAATACCTTATTAGGGTTTTCAACACCTGCCTAATTTCTCCTGTAATTTTAATGACTTTTTCCTTCTACATTTACTATGCAATGCATTTTCCTTTAACTCCCATTTCCACAAACATTTGGTACCTGACAAAAATTTATCTTTTGGAGGCCGTTTCCCAGACTCTCGTCTCTGAACAATCTTCAGAGGCGTCAGCTCCGGAATGTGTCGATTGCGCAACATTTTGTGAGGAGGTGTCTGAAGCTGCTGATGAAAACTTGAGGGCCGCTGCTCACAAATGTTCTGGTGATTTAAAAGCTCCGTCTTTGAGCAGTATTCCTTTTCACAGTGAAAACAGATAAACACTTCCACAAAGGTTTTATCTCTGTGATCTGAAAAGATCAAACATTTGTTTTAAACAGAGTAGAGAATGCCCACCATGCTCTGTCACAGGTATGGATTTGTTGTATAAGGTGTTTTGATCAAAATTTAATAAGACTATGAAGTTAGAAACCTGCATATTGATGATGCTAGCTTAAAATCCCATTTTTAGTAGCTCTGCCAGGAAGGCTTTGGTCGTTTATTGATTTGTTAATTAACAACAAATCTGCTGATAGCCGATAATGATCTCATCCCCGTTTATTTCAGGATTTACCTTCTGACAAAGATGTACTCCTTGTATTTCTGGCGGGGGAGTCCCCCGGGACAGGAATGTAGGCGCTGGCACTGGTTAGAGATGGATCAGCAAACTGAATCACAATGAACAGGGGAAAATAATTTCATGATATGGCACTTTATTTGATTTTATCACATCTCAGTGTCTGCTGAATCTGACAATGATAAATTGATTAATTAATTAATTATTTAACAAACATCCTTTGCATTTTTCCAAAATAAGCCCTTTTCTCAGTCAATTTCCTCAAATTAAGCCTTCAGACCATTTCAATTTCAAACTTCACTGATCAGTAAAATGATCCTCAGAATCAACCTCAAGCACCTGTGTATTTCTGCTGTCTCCCAGCGTATGACCTTTCTCTCCACCAAGAAAACTCAGGGCCCCGTTTGGTTTGGTGACCACCTGTACATTGGGGCCCAGACACAGGAGATCCTGGCGGCCGTGATATAAATAACAGTGGACAATGACGTTACGCAGGGCATCAGTGAGAGACAGCTGGAAAGAGAAAGACATATTATAATGACGTTGAGATTGTGCCAATTCATATGACGCAATGATTCTATCACAGAGAGATGGATTTAACAAAGGGAAAATACAGAGTTTTTTTTGTTTTTTTTTTGTCCAAACTTGCCCTACGACTGCCACCTCTGTGACACAACATAGGTAAACTGCGAAACCCTCTCATTTTTTAAAAGATGTTACTTTTCCGTCTTTCTTAAAACAAAAATACAACCACACCTGTTACCACACGATCCCCTACAAGCCGAACTCCAGAGAATTATTCAACACAAGCCAATCATGTGAAGATATTTTTCTCCTCTGGCCACCACCACTAAATATAGCATCAGGCAACAGAGGAAATGAAATGGGAAAAGAAAATCCTTGATCCATGCTGAAGCTTTACAAGTACTGACACACTGCACCCATACTTCTCAGCATGGAAATTATTGATCTTCTTTTGCTCTCACAAAATTAGGATAGAAAAATAAATGGCATGGAAAAACCGTAAGGTCAAGATTATGATGGTTGTTCCCTTGAAAACAGATTTTTTATTCAAAAAAAAAAAATGTTGAATAAATTTCTATTGCACACAGCTAAGGTTAAGAAGTGTGACATGCCAAGGGAAAAACCAAATCAATCACTCAGTCAAAAAAAAAAAAAAAAAAAAAAAACACCTTCTTCAATTTCAAGTTTCCCTCCAATATTGAGTCGTCTGTCGGAGCATCTTCTAGCTATTCATCAGGGAGGCTCTGAAGATGCGCTGACAGAAATTGAAATGTCTAAGTCTATGTAAGTCTACAAACCTACAGCCTGTCTTAGTCTACTAACTTGCAGCCTGTCTATCTTAGTCTACTAACCTGCAGCCTGTCTATCTTGCCATCTTTATTGACGTCCACCCAGGGCACCTGCTCTGGCCACCACTCCGGCCGTGCAGATTCCAGACCATAGCCAGGGTTCTTCTTGCCTGTCACACACTGGAGCATCTTAGTGATGAATGTCTGCATTTCTCTCTACAGACACAATGATACATAGCTATAGATAAAGACATTTAGAGGCACCAAGATTATTCTCTTAGCCAAAAACAGGCCAAGGTGACCCTATTATCACACAAGTAAAATGACTTAAATTATTCACTATGACCCAATTGTCATGTAGATAAAGATGACCCAATTACTTGTCATAAATAGGTCAAGATGACCCAATTTCACGTCATATAGGTCAAGACGACCCCCGTTTCCTACCCACCTTACTCATATGCTGGAGATTGGTGACTGGTGGAAGCTGTGTCAGATCAGGAGCACATCCCTTGGACCTGGTGGCCATGTTGTCACAGGCTGCAGGCATCTTACAGCCTGAATCAATAACAGTAACAGGACTTAAAGGTACATACGAACCCAGCATAGGTGGAGCGTGGATTCCCAGTAACACATGTAAACCACTTCTACTAGATTATTATATGACTCAAATAAATTCGACATGCCAAGGGATAAACTGAATAGATCACTCGATCAGCCATAAAAGACCTTTAGACTGCTCCTTTCTTTAAATTTTTGGTTGTAAATTTAACCTACTTTTGTGACCTACTTTCCTGCCACATTGACATACAGCTTAGAATGCCAGCAAACATCATTTTTGGGTAAAATTAAACAATGCCTTTTGGTAATTCTCTTAGTTATACTACTTGAAACTATATGCTGGCATTTGGTTGGTTTTTGTGACAAAAAATTGACTTTGTATGCATCTTTAAATGAAGACTCAAGGCATTAATGAAATTTAACCACGACATCAAGTTGGATGCAGCAGATAGAGTAAATACCAACACTAAAATGAAACGCACTAACAGCTGTAGCCATAGGTCTTTAAAGAAACTATAGGTGGCATTAGTCAATTTAATGCCATTTGTTTTCCATTCTTGAAGGACCATGTATCAATAGCTAGAACTGTCTAATCTTGATATAGAGCTTTTTATTGAGTAAAATACACTACACCCATCATATGACAGCCATGTTGGAAAAGCTTCCAGGCAGCCTTTGGCTTGAGCAAAATCCTCTGCTAACCTTTTCCAGCAGAGTCAATCTGCTCCGTTCTGACAGATACCCATCAGAGAGAATCCATGTCTGAGCTTTCACCTTTCATCACATACTTCCCATACAAAAACTCTCTCATATTTCAGCTGCCATACTGACATAACAGCTTTCCTGTTACGACTGAAATTATGCTCTTTTCCAGAAATGAAACTCCCACAGTTCATATATCAGACTGTATTGATCACAGGGTTAATCCAAGGATCTCTTTTCTCATAGGCCGCATTCAGAACAGTGGACTAACTAGCCTAAGGTCAAATATGGCAACCCACTAAAAAGCTTGCCGTCTAATCTGCTAACAGACACTGAAAAGATTCCCTGTGGAGAAGAATTCAAGTGGGTCAGCCATATTTGACCCTCGGCCAAGTTCACTGTTCTGAATGCAGCCATGTACTGGTAAAACATTAATAAAGACATCCAGCAAAACTTCACTCAAAGAGTTTTAACAGCATAACGACCTTGATGTAGGTCAGTGGTCAATACTCATAATTGCCAGGATCTTATCTCTTACTAGTAACTTTATGATAATATGAGGCCATGCGAAAGGCACCTTAATACATGTTTACCAATACAGTGACAGCAAGTTACTGACAGGTTATGATCTGAGAGGTTGCCCATTTCTGCTTCATTCCCCCCGATTTCAGAGTACTAGTAAATAATTTGTTCAAAAGTCCAACAAAAGAACAGCACATTCTTAATTTAGTAAACATATAAATAATAGGTATATATTTTTTTAATTTTTTTTTTCAGAATCTCCACTTAAAAAATACAAAACTTAATAAGAACTCAGCATTTACTCGCCCCATAATAGCCTCGAAATGAAAGGTGATATCGCCATGGCAATTCGCGATACTTTCGAGTTACGGAACCAATATTAAGCCTGGAGGTTGCCACAGAGATATATATTACCATTCTACTAAACTGATATGCAGACCCTTCGGCACTGAATTAGCTCTCTTTTTCCGTAATGAGCCCAACAGTGAACACAATTACTCAATCTCTAATGAGGTCAAGCTATGGCTAAAGAGGTGGAAATTAATACCTGGGTGACTAATAGGCTGTGTGGGCTTAGGAGGATTATTTCAATAGACCATACATTAGCATTGTCATATTATTCCATAATTTACTGCAGTATTGTAAAACAGTTACATACAAATCCTGATTACTTCCTGTTGATCAAAGGTTGTACAGACTTTTTTCACATGTAAATGTACAGTATGCTAGTAGGTTGATCTGTCTTAGGCCCCATTCAGAATAGGGGACTAAATAGTGAGAGTCAAATATGGTCGACCCACTTAAATACTTCCCCATGGGATATCTAATCAGTGTGTCTTAGCAGATTAAACAGCAAGCTTTGTAGTGGGTTGCCATTTTTGACCCTCGGACTAGTTAGTCCCCTATTCTGAATGGCGCCTTACTTGGTATAAGTAGTGCCTAAATGGCCCAAAACCACATTTCCAAAATGGCAGAAAGAGACATAGGCAGGGTACTTGTAACAATGTCAGATGCCCAAGTTGGCCTTTGCCCTCATCAAGTGTGGTTTTCTGTATCATCTCAGATTGACTGGTTTTAACATGTAATTATGCTACAGTGAACGTTAGTACCTTTCACAAACCTCCAAAATCAATCAAAATTAGTCAAGATGCCATGTAGCGTGTGTGTGTGTGTGTGTGTGTGTGTGTGTGTGTGTGTGTGTGTGTGGGTGGGGGGGGGGGGGGGGGGAGGGGCATTGAGTCAACTCTATCACTTTAAAGCCAGACTTCTCTCAATACAGAAAAATGTTATTGATATTCAAATCTATTGGAATGATTTTCTGTGTTGCAAGATTTGAGAGATGAGAAAAGGCCTTCACCTGACAGCACTGCCCCACTCTACCTTGAGGGTTCAACCCAATTTGCATGCTAATATGCCTCTGGCAAAGGATCCACAAGGCAACAGGATTTGTTTCTTCTTGTGGCTGCTAATGGGCTGTATTATGGGCCATGAAGTAATTTGAGTCCCATCTAATGTCAAGCTGCTAGATCAGCCAATGTGTTCTCATTTAAAGAATGAGACTCAGAATATTGAAAAAAAAAAATTATTAAAAACAAAAAAGCCACATTAAACAGTATTTTCATTATGCAGCTGCTGCGTAGCTGTAGAAAAAAATACTTAGGCAGCATGCAATTTTCAATAAAAAGATTATGATTTGTTTATGATTTGGCTCCACGAATTAATGGCTGAAGCAATTACTTGGAACCACACTTTAAAGTTCCAGTTTTAGCACGCTCGGACTTCAAGAATAACTTACTAGTACCTATTTGACTTCAAACAATTGGTGAGTTTTTTGCAAGCTTTTATCAGGGTTCTCGCTGTTTGCATCTTTTTCTAGACTGCAGACAAAATGGCCAAAGATGTCAGGCATTGTACCCAGGAGTCATCTGTAAATTCTAAATTGAAAAAGAGCAATATTTCTCCTCTTTCTTTATAGTTTAATGAAAAAAGGGATAAGGTTCTTGATTTTATTATATCCCAGTAATACAGCTTGGGCGTTACTGCCAGAATTCAAAGGGCAAGTAATATAAGCGGCCATTAAAGGTACAAAAAGAAGATTTTGGCTCCAAATTTCACACTTAAGCTTGGGGGAAATACAACTTTTAATCTTCCTTATTTGACACTCACCATAACTCTGTAACAATTTTGGAAGAAGCCAAACATCAAAACCCATGGGTTGGTGGAGGTTCTTAACTTTTGTCATTCATTTCCACTCAACTTCAACATATCAGGGGTGGTGAATATGATATTTTTAAAACGATATTGAAGAAGGCCATTTATCTGTCATTTCATGTTTTACAAGTTTTAGTTGCTCTCGGTTAAGTTCAACAAGGTGCAATGCATGTACTAAGAATGCATTTTTATCCTTATTTTGTGTGGGATAATGACTGTACTTTGTTAAATATGTGAGAAATGCACTCTTGATTATATCCTGGACAAAGAAGATTCAAACAGGAATGTGAGAGGACTTGCTGTTTTGCAGTAAATAATATGACATACAAACAGACCGCAGATTATAAATTGGAACAATTGTACTGGAAGCGATGATCGAATTTGAAAAATCCACAATAAAGCGGGGTAAATAACTTTTATTTTCCAAGATTTGTGGGTAAAATTATACACTGCACTTTTTTATTTCTGTATTCAGTGATCAAGACACCTGTTATTTCTTTTTCAATTTATCTATACTGCGACACTGAATAAAAGACCAAAGACAGTCTCTAAAGACAGCATCAACGACATGATTGTCTAAATTCGGTAAATACGTAATGCCATAACTAATTAAAAGTTCAACAAATTATCATAAATTCAACAAAATATTTCATATCAAAATTCTTGCTTTTATCTGTGTAAATGTTAACAGAATATGATATTGACAGGTTTGCATCTAACAACACGTGTGAGAGTGCTAACTGTCAATGTCGTATGTCAAACAGCCCAAAGCGACCAAACTATGAAATTGCGGGTCTTGATAAAATCACAAACAAACCGTCGTGTTTTGGATCAAAATCTGAAACTAAATCCCATACGAATCACGCAATCTGTATTCATAGATAAATCTTAATTAAATATTAATGTTTACATTCCAAGAGCAAGTCATGAATCGATAAAGAATTCCAATGACCTACTTTTAAATATCATATGGTGGCTCGCAAGCTTTCAGAGCCCATTGTCCAAAATCGGTCTTTACTTACACTCAAATCAAAATTTCAGCCCTAATTTCCATAACTTACCGGTAAAAATGTAAATAAAGGCAACTTGTTCCGATCATCTCGCCACCTTCTGTCTAAAGAGCAATCGACCGGCCAGTATTAGTACATAAGCTTTGAGTTATCAATAATGCTTTTGTGTCTCTCTGTCTGAAAGAGCCCAAAATGGCGGTTGATCGTTGGACACCTTACATCCGGGAACTTCGGTGGTGAAAACTGGAAGCAAGTTTTGGGTGGTGGAAATAATTAAATAAAATGAGAAAACTGGGTGAGAATTTCGGGATTTTTGTTTAATAACATTCCCAATGAAATCGGATAAAATCATAAACAGTTTGATCCTGGATATAAATATTTTTTACATTTGTGATTAAGCGATAGTTGTCCAATGGAAAAGGTTTCTGTTACCTGCATGTATGAGCACGTAACTGATTCTTATAACTTTCATTTCTAAATTCGAATGCGGAAGGCAAGGCTGATTTTAATTTCATATATATTACGTATATGAAATAAATAATGTTGAATTATTGGCAATTAAAATATTATCACTATATATTATTTTTTTCTTTTTTGTCCAACTGTATGCCAATTAAATAGGCATCTACCAGAATAGGCCTAATGAGGAAATGTATTTTTGCGTAAAGTATTATAGAGGCAACATTGTTAGTACATTTTGTCCCGAAAGAAAGGCAAATGTGATAAGACTAGAAATGCAAAACTATTTAACTAGTCTACGTATACGCCCTTAAATAATGTCAACGCGATAGGTACAGTAGGCTAATTAACGTAATTAGGCCTATATATATGGTTCCACTCCAAGAATTTAGCAAGACCGACGAGAAAGCACAAAAGAGTGTACTTCGTTCTACGACGATAAGACAACATGCAGCTGGGTTTTACCATAGAAGTAACCTAGTAGATCTACAGCGAATCTAGGAGCGTGCGATCTTATTATTACATCAATTGCACACCGGTTGTTTCATATCGACATGTGTGCTCGATATGAGCATTATATACATATATGTATACGCCTGTTAAATGTCAGGCATGCAAATAGTTTTACTTTATCAACGGTCCCTCAGCGGCCTTAATGCGTCACAGTTCAGACGATTAGGCGTGGCAGAATCTCAATGACGTCATGGGCACACATCTAAAAATAGACAATGACGTCACCGTGATAACATTTGTATTTGGCTTTGAGAGGCATACATGATGGCAATTTACGTCACGTTTTGTATTCCTCCATCTTCAAATTAGGCCGAAATATATTCAGACAGGGTCGCGGCTTATATATATTCATGTACATCAGACCGCATTCTTTGTTTGTAATGCACATACGCTGACGTTCTTTTATTTACAGAGATTTTTATTTCAAGACTCGAAACCATTCACCATACCGTGTTAGTGTATTCACACTGAAAATATTGTTTATGTTCGACGGCAGCCAAGAAACGACCCCAAAGTAAAGACATATTTAACTGTAGGAGCCTACATGTAGGCCTAATTAGTACCATAAAAAGGATTTTGATTTTAAATGCAAGTAAGATAGCTGCTCTTTAAATTATTTGTACTGTTCAAAAGGAATTGTTCGTTAAAAAGATATATGTCTGATATGTGGATGTAATATAAGTCAAATGATTTTAGTGCAAGAAGCTCTATATATTTTCTTTCACTTCAGTGATAATAGCCCAAAGGCCTAGACAAAGAAGCCCATCGCGTCGGTCAAGGTCGGACGTCCAAGGTCAGGCGCTCCTTTGCTGCCGGCCCATTGATTTGTCATACAATGTCGGGATAAATGCTGGCCTCTCTATCAGTTATACATATGAGGGGAATGTTCAATATGGAGTGCTGTGATCTAAAAACATTTCTCTCCCCCCCTTTAATCTCTTTATTGTGTCTGTGAAAACGGTCAAAAAATAGATCCTTGATTATACTTACAGGTATACAGGGCCGTAGCCTGAGCAAAATGCCAGGGGGGGCAGTAAGCGGACACGAGGGGGCGAAGCCCCCGAGGGGGGGAGACGTTGTCCCCCTACCAGTGTGGAAAATTCTAAATCCCAGGGGGGGCAGCTGCCCCCCCTGCCCCCCCGGAGGCTACGGCCCTGGTATATTCTATCATTTTTATTCGTAGCTGCACCGAACTCTAAAGTTTGCAATTTTTTACAATACGTTCGATCATTCTCTCTATAACGGTACCTTTGAAGAAAAAAAAAAAAGCGAAAAATGACGTTTAAGATACATTCGCGAATTCTCTTTTTTCTAAAACTCGGGTGACAGAAAATGATAAATCTGGCCTTTTGTGCAAATCATGGACAATTTTAAAAATCGTGCCTTGCTAGTAAGGGGAGTTTTTGTTTTCAGTAACGTAACGAAGGTTTTAGCAACGCAAGTTTTAAAAATAAAAACCTTTTGGACGATTATCGCACGTTATTAATACTAACAAAAATAACATTGTGCAACATGTTGCCCTCAATATATCATTCACACTTTACACAATGCCCAGCCTGGTAACCAAGCATATGTGTGTGTGTGTGTGTGTGTGTGTGTGTGTGTGTGTCTGTGTGTGTGCATTCGCAAGCGTATCTTATACGCCAAATAATTTCAATTCCACCAAATAGTGAAATGAATATAAGTTATTAGAAATATTATTTATACTGTAATTTAGCTCAATACTTCGGGCCAAGATTTTTTTACCGTTATTTTTCGCATTTTCTTGGTATATCGTCGGGCGCACAGCGGTCGTTTTAAATTAGTCACACGGTGACGTCGTTGGTGTTTACGATGCCCGGATGTTGCTTGTTCATATGCATGCCAAGGGCAGACATGAATTATACGAGTAACAAAATCTAACACAAACTAACGCACAGAATTGCCTGCGGTTTACAAACCAAAAATCCCGTATATAAACGCATAGGCCAGACTTCGTTAATATTTCGTTCCACGGTCCCATTGGTATGTTTTTCTTCATATATGAATGTAGGCCTAAAAGTAAAGTAGGACTGAAATCATAGGTTTTTGCTGCTAAATTAATGAAGTCAGATTTCTACTTCATGTGTTGATAAAAGACTGATTACTGAGATCTGTATTTTGCTTACACAGCTGTTATGTATACCTGATAACAGAGCTAATATAACATATTGGCACTGAGGAACAACGATGCCGTTAAAGAATGTTTTAAAAATTACAGTCCGACAGTCAACGTTGCAGTTCAGATTAAAAAAAAAGAAAAAGATAGAAATAAAAACACCAAGTAAATACTTATTTAAAAGCCAGGAGAGTGACCTAGTGGATCTAGAGCATTTGCTTATTCATAATAGACCCGCGCCTTTCATTCTAATCTCTTTTCAAAAACATAACGAACATGTGATCGTTAAAACAGAACAGAATTGAAAAAAACTTAATATAAACTTTCAAGATAATAAACAACGATGTTTTGCGATCTTTGTTTGGCGGTATCAAAATAAATAAATAAATAAATAAATAAATAAATAAATAAATAAATAAATAAAACATGTAAACCATTCGAGTCTATGACTGAACTGAAACGTTCACATTTCGTTAAAGCGAGAATAATTTCCCAGTTTAGAATGAAATGGAAACCGTAACGCACATGTTAACGTTTCAAGAAATGGTCCCACTGCCTTAACCACGAAGTAAACACGAGGAACCGGTTCTGTCACTGTGACCTCGAGGAAATTAATGTTCAATTTAGGGGCATAGTTTGGATATATGTAATTTTGAAAAGGTGTATTACTTGAGATAGAAAATGGATGCCAATCAAGACATAGTGACCGGCTTCAAATACCAGGCTTTAGGTACCATGATTTTTCTCACAGTTACTGTAAGCCAAGATAAATTGAATACTTTTCCTATGTCAAAGAATATCGATGTGGAATAAGACATGAAATATTCCAGTAACATATTTAGAGGAATGGAGAAATGTTATTTTTTTAATCCTTTAAAATGCGAGCGTCAATAATAGAGCGCAGCTCTCTTAGGAAGGTTACAGGTTTTACGTCATCACTTTCACAAGTTCTCCATAGGTTCGTTATACCCCCTTTACACTGGACGGCGTCCTTTCTGCGACCATGACATTTGGCATCGCTGTGGTCTTAATAAGGAGACACGAGCATTGCTTTTGTATCAGAATGAATGCTCAATGATCGGCCAGGTGTCGGCACGTAAAGTATTATAATTTTTTAACTCTCAAATGGGTCCGTACTGCTGGACGCAGAAAGGACGCCGTCCAGTGTAAAGGGGCCCTTACCAACTGTTCAGCCAAGTTTAATAATTATTATGTCCTCTGAGTTTCAAAAGGCTGTGAAAAGTCATCCATAACCCCTACATGCACTCTTTTCTACGGCTCTTTCCGCCCGACTGGCAATGTAAGAAACT